GGGGGGGGTGATGTGCACGGCGATGGAGGCTGCTGAGGACCTGCGAATGCACCGGAATCCAGGGAAGAGCCAAGATTAGACCGCCGACGCAGCAGAGAACATGTGGTTCTCAATCAGCAGGAGCTCTGAACCGTTTACGAGACCCCCGAGAGTCTGAGCGAACGACACCGTAGCCCCCGAAACAAAACATCTTCTCAACCTTAAGGTGCAAAATGCGTCCAAAACAGCGACGCGTCTGGCTATTGATTAGGCGTTTCGTTATCACCAAGGCCAAAAGGTGAACATGCGACGGTACGACCACGAGGACATTAAAGCAGGTCCATAAAAGTTGACCAACCTCTTCAAAGACCTCTCGTACCGCAGCGCCACACGGCTCCTCCTCGGGCTCCATCCCCCCTCCCGGAACAATCCACTGGTCCGGGTGCCGACTGCTGCTGACCAGCAGAACCTGCCAAACAGAATCAAGTTCACAAATAAACAAAAAAGGTTTAATTGATTTGCGTTTTATGGAGACTTCAACTAATTGTTCCTGTAGAAAAAAAATCAACAATTCTGAGTGGCCTTTTCCCTGATTTCAATTCAATTCAAAAATACTTTATTAATCCCAGAGGGAAATTAAATAATGTTGGCATTTAATCTTAATCAACATGGTCCCAACACATAGAAGCCAGCACGAGCTAAGCTAAAACGTTATTAATGCTTTCACGTGCGTTGCTTGCAAGGATTTGAATTACACTTCAGTTGCAATGTCCACTGAGGTGCAGAGCACGAATACGCCCGTGCGTGTGGTTTCTTGGCGGGGTCCATATTAGTAATCAAAACCGATTTGAGCGGACCTGCTGCAAACATCGACACGTTTGCACGGAGCCGTTCCATCATCGTTGCCGTGTGAGGCGCGCGACGGCGCCGAGGTCGTAAAATCTGAGCTGCCAATACAGAGAAAAGCTACGATACAGGAAAACATGGCTACAAGAGGTGAAAGGGTAAAGCCTCAAGAAGCAAAAGCTTTTTTTTAAAGAACAGCACACGTATGAAGGAAAACGTGTGCCAGGCAGCTGGAGCGACAGATTGTGACATCCGCCTCCACCGTGCAGCTGGTCACCGGTAATCTGCCGCAGAAGTCAGGCCGGCACTTAATCCAGACAGAGCTTCCCTTACACTCTCTAATGGGATTATGGCTGCATGTACAGGAGGCCCGATGAGGCTCCTCTGAAAGGTTGGACTGGGACTAAAGGTCAAACTGGTTGCGAGCGGCATCTGTTGCTGCCTTCTTCACGTGCCACACTAACCCAAACTTAGACACCTGCTTTAGAAGATATAGGTCAGGGTGGGGGCAAAGGAGGGTAATGGGTGAAAAGGGTAAGGAAAAATCCCACTAACGTTTTGTTATGTCAGTAAATTAAATATGTTTAAGGAAGATTTCCACTGACGGCACAAGCAGCACTAACGCAGAACACGTCTCTTCAGGCGTGTGTGAAACAGAGAAAATGTGCCATGTTGAACCTCGTCACCTCTAAGAAACTGAGTATTTTCACTTTTAATATTGCCCACCGCATAAACGAGTATTATAAACTTTAAAAACTTGCGGCTTTAGTTAGTATGACTTTTAAAAAGTATTGGATTTGAAATCTGTTTTAGCATACTATGCTCCATTTTTATTTTTAGCTACTTTTATCATTTGCTCTCGTTTGCTCTCTTTTGCATGACATTTTGCTTCTTTCAGCAATCATTCAGCATTCACAATGCAGTTTTGCAAAAAAATGTAACTTATCTTTATGAAGTTTGTTTTAACTATGTTCATCAATTTAACAAAAAAAAAAGGTAACAAAACAAAAAAAATAAAACATTTTTACTCCTTTTACAGTTTAATAAAGTTGCTTGTTGGGTTTTGTTGAGCTTCTTGCCTGCTGTTAACTTTAGATGAAACGGAGTGCACGACCGAATCAATCGCATTAAAAAGGTGTACAAAGTTTGCACTCATGCGTGAGCAACCGAGCCAAAACAAAATACCTCACATCTGTCTGGGAGTTAGGTCAGCAGTCAGCTGATAGCTACAATCCTGACACAAAAACTAGATTTTATTTGGAAAGAGCTTTAAAACCCCAGAGGAAACTGTGGCATTTCAATGGCACATACAATTAAATCAAACCAATAAGTCACCATCTATTATTTGACACACGATGAAAGGCCTCTGACATGCATGGCAGGCAACACGCAAGAATAATCTGGAAGACATAAAGTAATTAATTATATAAAGTAGTCTTATCGGGTCTGCCTCATCTTTACAGACAAAAAAAAGATGGGACCAAAACACGGACTAAGGGGGAGCTGTGGAAAGTAAAATCTATCATGAACTTTCTAAATTACCTGCCCCAGTCACACTTAGCTCAGTCCTCACCTCCTTCTACAGGTGTGCAGTGGAGATCCTGTGCTCCAGCATCAACATGTGGCAGAAAGAAAAGCTCTGCAGAGAGTGGTGAAAGCTGCACAGTAGTCTGTTTTGGAGTCAGCCTCCCCACCATCAGACATCTACACCTACAGATGCAGGAAGAGAGCCACCTGCATCATGAAGGACCCCACTCACCCAGCACACGCACACTTTTTGCCCCGCTCCCCTCAGGCAAGGGTCTGATTGTATCAGAGGAAAGACAACAAACAACTTGAAAATAAATCTGTTCAGCCCCAAATACAATTCTCACTTTTTACAACGTGTCCGTAAACACAAAAACTAAACTCAAACAATAAAAAGGAGAAAAGAAAAAAGCACTCGGGGGACAATACCCTGCAGATGTTGACATATGATTTGGTTTGATTATGGTGGGCCATCAACTGTGTATTCACATAAAACCTACAATTTAAAATGAAGAGGCGCTGGCATAAATTATCCTTGTAATTAACTCTTCTCCAAACTCAAGTTGTCGACTCCAATATTTTTATTTAAACCTTTATTTTACCAGGAAATAAATCCATTGAGATTATTAAAGTGCTGTCCGTCTGTCTTAACAGGTACCTGCTAGTTAATTTGGGTTTTCTCAGAGTACTGCGCCTCGAGAGCTCCGCTTTCTCCGTTTCCTCTTTGGAGCAAAGCAAAACAGTCTGGGTCTCCCGTGTCAAAGCAGCACTGATTGGGTTTGTGCAGCCATGCGTTTAAGAAAAGCAGATATCATGTGCACAACTCTGTTTCCACCTCTTCCACCTGAGCAGTACCATCTTTGTGACTGCATGAGTAGACATGCCTGTCAGAAGCTGAAATTCCTGAGGAGGGTGGTCACACACTGCTGTTGTCACAATATTCAGTGAAATTTCCTTCAGGTAGATACTAGTTGGGTAAGGGAAAGGAAGACAAGAAAATGAACTTCTGAGAATTATTGGGCAAGAAGAAACTGTACATACAACTCTGACAACAACAACGGGCAACGTCTAAATCTCTCAACTAATTGAAAACTCTAATAGAATAACAACTTAAGCCTTATTTGAGAACATATGCAGTGTGTGTGCATGTTTTTATGTAAGTGGTGGCCAGGCAGTGAGTGCCACAGGATATTTTTAACTGTAAATAGTGTAACGTTTTGTTTATACCATGCTGACAGGAGGATAAATTTAGACTCGGGACTTATGGATTTGAATATATGCTCACTGGGAAATGGTCAACCAGTAAATTTCCAGAAATAAAACGTGCATAAGACGATAGTAAACACAAGTACTGTACTCGTAAAACATATCATGTAGTAAAGCAATTTAGTTGTTTTATACAATTTGCTTACTTTTTTATCCATTTGGCAACATGTTTTTATTTTTTACATTATACTTATTTGCTAGTTCCTTTCTTTTATTTACTGAATGTGTCAATGGGCTATCTGGTTCACTAACTGATTACAAACTACACCGATTAAATTAAACTGCTGTTACTGTTCCATTAGAAAACAAGGCAGCTATGAAAACCCCCCAAATATTTGAAAAATAAATATATATTTTAAAACACTTGTGTTCTGTTGCATCTCAGGGTTAAAGCAAAACCTTATGAAAGCTATCTAACCATAGTGGGTAAAAGTATTCATCAAATAAAGCCTTTAAAATGTGTTTACCTCCCTTTTATGTACTAAAGGGCTTTTTAATTAGATGACCCACTTGACGAGGGTGCTTTTTTCGACACAACACGGACGGGATGCAGAAGCTTGTAGATGCTGACACCAGGGACGTTATAAACAAATTGACGCGATACGTGATGAACTAATTCAGAAACACTTGTATGGTCTTTAATCTTAAACCGACGGAAGAAGCAGGAGCACGTTAATCCCGCTGTTAAATTAAGTGTGTAAAAGATCGCCTCGCCCACCCTGCGCGAAGCTACACGCAAGCTAGCGAGCAGGTCACCGGATAAAGAAACGCACCTTCAAAATAAAAGCATCGCGTGTCTATTGGAAGCAGTTTCAAGCTAAACTCTGGATGGAGCGTTTTATTCCGAAAGTCGCGTCCCGTTAGTTTTTTGACGTTAGGTGACGCTTCCTTTACTCTTTTTTTTTCTACGTGCTTCTCAAACTAGCCTAAACTGGATAGCCCAGGGCGCATCAGCTGCAGCACGAAATAACAAAACCTCAGAGGCCTCGAGACAAAAAAAAAAAACCAACACTAATAATTTCATACGCCACAAATTAAAGCGTACCTTGAGAAATTTAATATGGTTAATTTATAAACACCCACGGTTCCAGCAGATAAGGTCGCAGCAGAAACACATCGTTCGACTGCGGAGGGTATCCTTACCTCTTCTTCACGGTCGTTCTTGAAGCACAGACAAGCTGCTCTTTTCTTAAAACCCTCTCCGTCGTACGTCCTGGTCTGATTTGGTTTGAGCTTCATTGTGGATTCTCTCAGTCTCCCCTGAGAGAGAGAAAGAACCGGCGAAGCAGATGTAGTTTTTTTTTTTTCCTCCCTTGGCTGGTCCAATGAGTTAACAGCAGGGCCGCCGCATCGTTGCTAGTTTCAGCATCCAACGGGTCGGAGACGATCCGTCATCCGCGGAGGGACCGAGTTTGAAGAAGCTCTGTCAGACGATCATGAACTTGTGATTCGCCGTTAACGAAATGAGTGCGTATGCACGAAACAAGCTCGAAAACGCGACCTGTGATCTACAATCGGCGGTAAAATATAAGCAGGTCCAGCAGGCAGAGCTCTTATGAAGGCTACGCCTACGGAGCTGAGGCAGCGAGGAGCTGATTGGTTAATACCGTCACTGTGGGCGGAGCCAAAATCTACCCAAAAAAACACGATGAACAGTGGAGCGCAGTGGTGTATATTTTTGTAGTGGGTATACTGTGCTTAGAAACCAAAGTACACCGATTAGTACAATGTAATTGTCAATTTATTTTGATTTTTAAGCATATTGAACATTTCCAAATTTCTCTGACGCTTACATTTGAATAAATGTACAACAAACTTAGTACAAAGTATTAAGTACAGAAATATTAATTATACAATAATTCACTGGATATGCGAAAGTAATGAACAAGCGCTGCATATACAGAGAGATTGTTTCGGAAACATTTAACTGCCATTTAACGTATCAACGACACGTGCCTAACGATATGTCATGTATTATTAGGCACTTTTACGTAGGTATACTGAAATTCTCAAGCTTTTCTAGTAGGTATACTCCATAAGCCTGCGTATCACTTAGAGTAATGATGGAGCTTAAACGTTTTTGCCCTTGTTCAAGCTCGTCTGTATAGTTAACCTCATGAATCACTGGGCAGATTTGAATTAAAACTTTCAGAAAGTAACCACGGGTTGTTCATCTACAGCTGACTGACAGGAGTCAACTCAATTCAAGATGGCTCCTACAGCTAATGCGCCTTTGAAAACGCAAAAATGGTTGTAACTTCCTGAGAATTAATGATGCGGGAAAGTTTATGCGGAAGTAGCTGAGAGTCGTCCTCAACGTACTCCAAGCATCAACACATTGACAGATGTGGCGGCCATAGTGCAAGCATTATGTATTCCTTCAAGGAATTCTAGCCCCCTGTTATTTTGCAACTATTTCATGCTTTAGTACAGACTGAAGCATCAAAAATTCAGTTTAGTAATTTTCCGTAGATAAACATGGAAGCCGCATCACAGCCTTCGCTATGCAAGATGTGCTGCTAATCCAACTCCCTTATTTACCTCAAATCTCAAAGCTACACACAAACACGTGAAATGGTTTTACTCGTGTTCTGCCACGACGACCGTGTGGTGCATGGCCTGTTCAGCGAGGGAAGTGGAACAATATTTACACAAGTGACAGCTTTACAGTGCTGGAAAAACCTTGTAAAATCACTTTGTGCCCATTTAAAGTGAGCTGTCCCGAGAGGAAGATAAAACCCGAGCGCAAAAAGAAAGCTGCTTTAGCTAGTAAAAACTATTTAAATAATTATAACAGTTGATCATTTCTGCTATGTTACAGTAGAAAAAAGAAAATAATAAATGCCAAACACTTCTTATTAGCTTTATTTCCAGGGCTCCCATATTAAGTTTAGTTATATTGAGACGTTTTTTTCTCCAATCTAGCCTTCTTAAACTTTTAAACTTTGTTGTGAATTAGCACTATATAAATAAACTGAATTGAATTGAAGTTACTCTGGCAAAAAAAAAAAAAGTGCAAGAACAGATCATGTTGGAATTACGACAAAATCTCAAATGAAACTTTAAAAAAAAATTTAAAATATGTGTCAGTCCCTTTATTAAATACCAATGAATCCTGAAAACACACCTCCACTGGATGTATTAAGGCTTGGCACAGAAACCATGCCAACAAACATGTTATTTGTCATGATCCACTCAAACAGGACTGCTTTATTGCACTTTTATGGGAGTATTCTCTTTGTTTGAAACTTTGGTTAAACTATGCTACCTATAGCACAGATTTAGTTGGCAGGCTGCAGACTGATGAAGCCCTCTGGATGGGGGAAGAAACTTTTCTCACTCAAAGAAACTGGTCCAGATGACACAATTTAACTTTTTTTTTGTTAAATCAAAGTTCATGCTCAATAATCCTGGTAAAAAAAAGTCCAACAAAGTTCAGTCAGGTACTCTGGACGGTTTATTTTTTGTTGAGACGTTTCATCCTTCATCCAAAGGACTTCATCAGTCTGAGGAGCCATGGTCCCGTGGGCAGTGCTCTCATGTGGTGGACCAACCAGTTTGCTGGTGATGGGATGGTTTCTGGGCCCGCCCTCTCCCTGAGTTTGTTTGTGGCTCCTCGGACTGAAGAAATCCTTTGGATGAAGGATGAAACGTCTCAACAAAACAATAAACCATCCAGAGTACCTGACTGAACTTTGTCGGATACTTACACAATCCTTTTAGCTTTTGGTCCAAACCTTGTGCTGCAATACACCATTTTTGAGCCTTAATGGATCAGAACCACTCCCAATGGTTCCAAAAGGAGTCGAACCTTTATCAGAACACATCCTGTGGCGCCACCCACGCTGTTTCATATCAAACCCGAACGGTCGAATCAACGCAACGCAACACCGATCCACTTGGCCAACTGTTGGGGCTTCAGAAACTTCAAAACTATATTTTTAGCAGCAGTGACGAATCAACCCCGGTATCATTTATAACTGCATTAGAGAATCAGATTATAGTTGGAGTGCATGAGTTCCCGACACACAGCGCTGGAAAGTTCTGCTGCATCACCTTCCTGTCTCCTCCTGAAAGAGATCACTGAAATAACGGGTTGATCAGAGCGAGCTACAGACTGAGACGGCTCACATGTCTGGGGAGGTATTCAAGAGGTTCGTCTTATCTGAAGCTGCTCATTTATCTATAGAATGTTGTTGACTCCAAAAGTTAATCAGTTGTAGATGCACACCCAGGGATCACTGTCTCTCTAATCTGTCTTTAAAAAACACATCTGACAAGACGAGCGTCAGACATTTTTCTACACATTAGGTCGGATTTTCAGAACACTGGGGATCATTTAGCCTCGTCGGTGTGAGGATGTCAGGATCCTCAGACTCGGAACTGTTTCACTCGTCAGGCTCTGAAAACTGGGAATCAGCGGCCGATGAGCTCACTTGAACCATGGGACTCAAACCTAAGCTAACCTTTTATTTTCCCTCTCATATTTTCCTACCAGCTGCACTCGTCCTGGATAAACAGTGGAAATAATAGCTCTCCGTGTAATCAAACGGTGCAGAACAGTAGTTGTCGCTCTGATGTGAACACAACCGGTCGAATCAAACAGCGCTGGGCTCTAGTTTTAGCACACGGATGTGATTCCCGATACATGACGACAGCTCCGTTTTCATACGACGCGAGGTGACAAACGAAACGTTACATGGACTTTTTCTCGAACAAAGCCACAAAAGAATGCCAGAAATAAAAGATGAGAAATGACATGGTTGTAGCTAATTTGGTCAAACTTGGAATAGTAACTGCAGTTGCTATATCACACTCAGTTTGTGTTGTGAACTACTCTCAGCTACTACCACATCATAGTTGAGCTCAATATCAGTAAAACTGACTGATTTATAGATGTTGTGTTATGTTCACTAAGGGGCACTAGCAGTGGTGGCCATCTTGAATTGAGTTGACTCTAAAATAAAATCAGTTTTAGATGCATATCCAGTGATTGGTTTCTGAGTTGTTCTAAAATCCATCCAGAGGTTTACGAGATATTTAGCTAACAAACGCAAACACACACACAGGCTTAAACATAGTTGTTCATGTTTTCCTTTCAGCAGCTGAAGATAATAAAATAAATAAACCCCCACCCCATTAAAGAAGCTAATAAACAACCAAATGAAAAAATAACCCCAATTAAACTTGCATGTATTTAGTTACGACAGATGCTCTAATCTCAGCAGTGCAAGAAATAAAGCTGTCATCGTACACTTAAAGTAGCAATCATCGGCTTGCATCGCAAAGCAGGGGGCCGCTTTTCCTCTTTTAGCCGAGGCACGAAGGTTCTGGTTTCCTCAGGCTGCTACTGTGACTGAGCCAAAACTGAACCTCTGCTTGTCACCGTCTTCTCTTTATCATGAGTGCCAGAGAAGATCTGCTTACCGGACTCAAACATCACACAGTACTCCATTAAATGCTCACATAAATACTCAGGCCGCACATTTAATACAATGTAAAGGTCTAATGTAGGTATCTATTTACACACAGGTGCTCAAACCTTTGTGCATGGAGACTAACCTCTTGTTCACTTGCCTGTGATCCACTCGGAGTTTGCAGCCAACTGTGATTATAAAATCCTGATCTGATTAGCTCATCCTTAAGGCTCTGGTTATACCTCAGCACTGAGCTCAGTCATGACATGGGAATCACTACAGTACTCACCAGACGAGACAAGTCATGGCTCTGAAATAGCTTCTAAAATATCTGTTTGTGGAATTTCAGTCAGGGTTTAGAGCTCATCATAGTACACAAACAGCACTGGTGAAAGTTACTAATGATATTCTCATGGCCTCGAACAATGGACAGGTGTCTACAGTGGTCCTGTTAGACCTCCGTGCTGCATTTGATACAGCTGATCATAATATTTTACTACAGAGACATGAATAGGATATTGGGATTACAGGAATGGCTCTAAAATGGTTTAAATCATATTCATTTGATATATTCCAGTTTGTAAATGTAAAAAAAAAGAATCTTCTTTATACACCAAAGTTAGTCATGGAGTTCCTCAGGGTTCAGTGCTTGGACCAATACTTTTTACATTATATATGCTTCCATTAGGTAAAGATATTAAACAGCATGGGATAAAATTTCATTGTTATGCTGATGATACACAATTATATTTGTCCATGAAACCCAATAAATCCAATCAGTTACTTAGACTACAAGCATGTCTTAAAGACATAAAAACCTGGATTACCCTAAATTTTCTGCTTTTAAACTCAGACAAAACAGAGGTTGTTGCTTTTGGACCTGAGCATCTTATGAATCAATTTTGCAGCCTTTCACTTTCTCTGGGTGGCAATAATTTGACCTCTAGTTCTAATAATAAAAACCTTGGTGTTATTTTTATCAGGATAAGTCTTTTAACCCCCACTTTAAACAAAACAAAATACCAGAATTTTTTTCCTCCACTTATGTAATATCACTAAGTTTAGAAATATTGTGTCCAAAAATGATGCAGAAAATCTGGTCCATGCATTTATCAC